TTTGCCTTCAGTCTACCTTTCTGACTCTCATGTGCTTGAGTAGTAGCGATCAGTCATGGAAAGATGAGTTACTGTTTTGATTTTGAATAAATTTAGAGACTTTTTTTGACACTGCATTCTAGGGCCACCTTAGGAGGGAGTGGAGTAGCCCCCACCCCAGTTGACTTCCATGACATGCTTCTAATCACCACTCAGGTCAAGAGCCTTCCTCAGGCTGTTGCCCCTAAAGGTAGCCTTAGATCAGGTGCCTTCTTTCCTTAACTTCATATAAGGGAATTAGTGGAGTGTGTTATCCTTGTATGACTATCCCTTGTTTGATATGGATCCATGGTTTTTGCAAATAGCATTCTTTATTCCTTTCTTTGATATATAATATTCCCTGGCACATTATCACAATCACTCTTTACCAAAGATGACACTGTTTTCATTGCAAATCGGGGGAGGGGGGGTTGTATAAATGGTATACAATCAAAGTTTTGTGTGTGTTCCTTACAGTTCATATACATCTTTTGCATGGGTATGTGCCCATGGCTGGAATTGCTGGCTACGTATCTGTTCAGATTTATTAAATACTACCATACTGTTATCAAAAATAATTGTATCATTGTATCATTCCCACCATCAGTATGCAAAAGTCTAATGTTTCTCGACATCCTTTCAATTTCTGTGCTTGTTTAGTAGTATCATTCTGGTGGGTATTTAGAAATATCATCTTCTGACTTTAATTATTTTACTTTAGGGACACATGAGGATAAGCATCTTTTGACATATTTTTCAACCATTTGGAAGTTAGCAATAAATTATATTTATTAGCCACTTCCTCGGATTAGAAAAAGGCCTCCATTTCTCAAGATCCTTCCGAGCCATGAGCTGTGACAGCTGCCGGACACCCTGGTGAATCTACAATCCCTCGGAGGTGCGGGCCAGCGCCAGGAGAGGCCAATGCGTCACCTGACATCTAGGGCAAGGAGTAGCCCAACAGACAGTCGGACCATAGAGAAGAGGAGCAGGTTAAAAACTCACCCCAGGAATCCAGACTGGTCAAAGTGAAGAGGGACCTGCTCCTCCCTAAGATTAGCACTAGGAGAATTCAAAGGCCAGCAGGTGTCCCTACTGAGGAGAGCAACCCTGGCCGCAGTCCTGCTGGGAGCGCTCCTGCAGAGGGGAGGAACGTGGTCCAGGACCCACCCTCGGGGTGGTGTCCAGGTCTCTGTGTCCCGTCAGAGGATGCACCTCTCACCTGCACGGTGGCCAGCCACGAGGGGATCAGGCCCATGCATCAGTGCTGGGTGCCAGGACGCTGGGGACCCGCCGGGAGACCGCGGGGGTCTGGGAAGGAAGGGGCACACACAAAGGGAAAATCGGCTACGAGGCAACACTTTCTGGTTTCCCTGACACCTGGGCTCTAAGTTCAGTGTTGAGAAACGTGAGTTCTTTTGTTAACCAATACCACAAATCCACTGTATAAACCTGTAAAAAATCAACGTCTCTTTATTAAGCAAATTCGCTTTTGCCTTTAAAATTAGGAATAATATTTCCATGTTTCTCATAATTCGCTTCAGATAATATAGGCTCGGATTTGCAAATTGATAAAACCTATTACCAACAGAAGGTGTTTTTTGAGACAATTGAATGGTGTTCATTAAATGATGTTTCAGATTCTTTTTTGATTCAGTGAAATAAGAAATGAGAACTGTAACATGTTAATATTTTCATTAGGTGAACATTTAGAAGGATTAAAAAAAAACTTTTCAAAATTCTTCTGCATTCAGAACAGAAGCTGTAGTCACACTTAGAAAACTTATTTCTGCTAACTCTGAAGGGACCTTGTCATGTTCATGAAGTCTCATGACCTTGAGGATCTCATCAAGAGTACGATTTGGTAGGTGAAAGCTCATAGCATATAAAATATTTTCATTAGATGTACATTTAGTTGCAAAATCTCTATTTAAAAGTAATTTATATTCAGAATATAAGCCAAAGTCATATTTATAAAACCTACTGCAATTTAAAAAATGCTCTAATTATTTAGTGGCAAATCTCATGACCTTTAGATTACCTATTGCATTTGATTTTATTTTTGGAGCTTTCAATTATCTCCGTGACACTCAGATACTTTAGAGGGAATTAATTCTTGGAGGAAGAGTCTCGTTTTCCTTGTGGGGGGTGAGCATGATTATGCCTTCCATCTCTTGCACGGCACCTCCATAGTCATTGGGGTAATAATGGACTATTTAAGCATTTCTGAATATAGAGAGAAATCGCTGGTTTGATGGTCATTTATTTGGAGTGAGGAAAATGATCTTATAATGTTAGTGATTATGTTAATTACTTCAGAGGGATGGATTCGACATATGAGTGAAGAAAATAAAACATTGCTAAAACACTCAACAGCATCTCTAAATGACTTTATGTAGCCTTAGAAATGTAAGTTAATTGAAGGCATAGATGCTATTTTTAGATTAAAAATTTGATTCACTTTTATATTACCTGCCTTTACCTTTATTATTTTCTGAGAGCCTCTTTTTTTAATTTTTGATATGAATATCTTATGTGCATGCAATTTTGTTAGTTTCTCTCTTTAAAACTTAAATAAATTGTTGCCCTTAATATTACCTAGATGAGGCAGGCACTTCAGTCCCTTGGAGAAAACACGGGCATCTCTAGGTCAGCCAGCTTCTATAATAGTTCTGGGAGCCCAAAGGCCGCATATAAATCAGCACATTTGAAAGCCTGTGGCAGGTCGGTGCACGAGGTGGGTAATGACCGAGGGAGAGGCGAACTGAATCTCAATTCAGGCTGCTAACAAACTGGAAAACCAACATAGCTAATTTAAACCAGGTCTGGCTGAGGAGAATAACCACTTGCTGCTACTCTTCTTAAAATTCAGGGTGCATCTTACTTAATTATTACTACCATTGCTCTGAATTAATTAAGCAACCGCAGCCTTGCTGGATATTCTGAAATGCAGACCGAAATGTGGTACAGGGCCTGAGGTTGGCAATCTACTTAAACGGCCAGGAAGATAAACACGTTCTAAGTGGTCTCAAGAAGATCAAGGCCATTGGCCTACAGCGGGAAGAAGGAAAATGCTGGAGACTCTCTGCAGGTGATGATAGGCGACAGAAGCGTGTTTCCTCTCTACGCTGTGTATACTAGAACGGGTATGGATGCAAGTTTCCTGATAATTTCTAACTGACTTTCCTCTGCCTATTTTGTTTCTTGTCTCATGTAGAAATATTTCACCGTGTAAAAGTTCCCCGTGTGCCCAGTTGGCAATGTAGGTTTTCTTAATGAAGAAAAAGAGCATCAGGACCGATTCTCTCCTACTGAAGATCCGTAGCTCCCTTCCACTTTCCTTCTTCCCTTAAGTGGACTTCTTAGTTTCAGCCTCATGATAGCACCCATCCTCCACCTCGATGCTCTTGCACCTGGGACTGCCTGGTGAGTAGGTGTTGGCCATGAGCAGAAATGAGGGGGCGCCTCCTACAAGACTGGGCCCCTCCCCATCCCCTGTTGGGGGAATCCTCCAACACAAAGCCATCCACCCCAGCCAGCATGCCCCAGAGAAATACCCCCTAACCTGGGCATTGGGATCGCTTAGTTAACGTCTCCTGCCCAGTAAATAACAGAGGTTCTCATGACAGGTATAATACTAGAAGTGAAAGACATTTTTAAAGAATTCTATAGCTTTCATTATTCTAATGGGAAAATATTAGTGCATATAAATTTCTGCTAGCTACGCCTCTATCCTACCGGTGAGTTATTTTTAGGATGACAAGAAAAGCCAACCATCCTAAATTTGCAATAGCAACGTACCTCCGGATGTCAGCACTCAGCTTAGGTGCCCTCCTCCTCCTCCTCTGGAGGAGTCCTTGTTCCTCTGTGCTTTCCAGTCACTGCCCCTGACTCCTGCACAAACATCCTCAAGAAGCTCACACATTCTCTAGGGTCAATACAATTTGATATTTAATCATGATGATGTCCAAAGTATCTAACAACGAAGGCCATTAAAGTGTACGAAAGCTCAGATGTTTATTGCAACCCTGATAAATTTTTTTCTGTACGATGATAGTGGTATTTTTTTCTTCTTAGGACATCAGAGACATCTTCTAAAAATGGCAACCTTAGGATGACTCCTCAAATATAAATTGTTTTTCTTTCTAGTTCTTTTATCCTATTAAAAATTCCTTTATCAACTCTTGCTCCCTTCCACACTGATAAACCAACTGATTTTTTTTTTTTTTAGGGAAATGACGTAATCATTTAATGATTATAATATTAAGTGTTTACAATATTACTCCCACAAAAAGAAATTAGACCTGCATATTTAATTTCATTTTAATATGCATTTAGCAGTGGGAAAGAAAAGACAACATAAAGAGGGTGAAATGCTTTCATTTTAAAGAGTCTATTTCATAACCTCAGACCTTTAGAACTGTAGAAGGTGTAATGATAAATTTCTTCCTTTTTTTTTTTTTAAATTCCCCAACAAACAGGAATAACTAGACAATAGTTTCTGGAATCAGTGCCTTCCAGTTACAGAGCTGGCATTCTTCAAAGATTTCAGAGATCACAGAAAATTCTTTTCTACACTTTCACATTAGTCTATAAAAATCTACCATTTTTCTGTAGACCTCTCACACTAGGTTAAAAAAGATTCAAGTTTTTAGCATACATTCCGTTTCACTTGTTCACAATTTAGGTCGGTAGGAGCAGGCTTGAGATTCTGGCAGGCACACAGGGCACACCCAGACCTATACACTCGGTTTCTTAAGATGGTGAACCTGGGGTCTCCCCTCGGTTCTCATTGGATGTAAAATGTTACCTCCTAGCTTCTGGGCTCTCTTCTGCTCCCATGTAGCTCTCTCACATAATGAAGAAATGCATGTTTTTTTTTTCTCTGAGTTCATTTCTCTGTTGGGTTTATAAACCTTTCAGTATAGTACTTGCTGCTGTTTATCCTTTCACCATCTTTAATAGAGTTCAGAGGCCAGTCTACAAATCCGGTGCTTCAAGAAGTTACACATGTGCACACACCCACGTACATGCGAGTGCACACACACATGCCCAGGCATCTGTAGAATTCACTGGCAAGGGCTTGGGTCTCCTTGTCATCCAGCTCCTCGGAATCTTGCCTCTTGTGAGGGCTTCTCTGGTTGCCTTCCTCTATCGTGGTCCAGTGGCCATGGGCTCTCAAAGAGGAAGGTGACAAACCCTTTTGGTTTCTGCTACTTTTTGTAAAGATCTGACCACCATTTGCTGTCTTGTGAGAGAGACAAGGTTAGTAAGGGTTGACCTTTCACAACCTCCGAGAAAGGAAGAACAATTAAATAAGAGAGCAGAAAAGACCCTAGAGCTAGACCTTGGTTCCAAGCTCCCAAGAAAATGCTAGGAGACCCCTGCACCCCTTCAAGTGGCCTTGGACTTGGTAACAGGCAAGCACACACTTCCTCACCTGCTCCCTGCCGTCTTTCCGAAGCCTTGACGGTTCCTCCCACCCCCCAGTCCTTCCTGGGAGCACAGTTTTCATTAGATGAGAGAATTAATGATTCCCGTTATGGGCTGCCTTAGGACATCACGCTGTCCAACAGCGCATCCTCTTGGCCCGTCTAAACCAGAAGGTAACTAGACTCAGCCCTACAGTCACTTGGGAATCCAAATCTGCAGTTTAATCTGCATGGAAACTACGGCCCAGATAGGCTCCACTGTGGCGTCCACCCAGCTCATGGACAGCAGGCACAGACCTGGCGTATGGTCTCTCACCATTGAGGTCAGCGCTCCTCTCTTCCTGGGGTTTATGCAACATTTTAAACCCATGATGGCTTTTCTCTCATTGTTTGATATGTTTATTTCAATCAAAAATGTTTGAGGATTAAAAGCCTAGTATAAACCAGTCTAGTACAACCACATTTTGACCAAAAAAAAAAAAACAAAAAAAAAAACCAAAAAACAATTTAAATCTATCCCATAACCTTTTGATATTCTGGTAGTTTTATTTCTCATTGCCATTTTTCCCATAGCTCCGTAGTTCCCATGCTGTGGTTTCCAAGTGGAATTTGGAATTTGGACAAGTCATAATCACTGAAGAATTTCTGAGGACCATGGCAAGCATCACCGAGATAAGCCTTAAGCAATTTCTAAGTATTGGTAGATTTCAGCTCATTTATCATCACAGTCAGTATTTGTAAAGCTGATTTTCTTATGAGATCAAGGTACAGAACTTTCTAGAATAATGGGGATGCTGTATCTACACACATAGGGAAAACCCTTGGAGCCATCTTGAAAATACCGTGTCCATCAGCCTGGAACAGCACTGACTGGCCAGGGGACAGCAGAGGAAGCCTCCTGATTCCAAGAATTGCTAGGAGACAGAGAGAGAGAAAGAAAATGCACCAACTAGTAAATGCTCCATATTCCAAGTCTATTAATAAAAATTAAGTACTTAGGGTAGAGTTATGTTTCAAGTTGAACTAGACTAGGTCTCAATGTCAAACCATTGAAACATCTCACAAGCCTTTGAAAGCATTTGGATCTATCTGGCCATATACTCCCTGTGGCAAAATATGGGTCACAAAAACTAAGCATCTTTCATTTTAAAAATAGAAATATACTGATGCATGAATGTATTGCTTAAAATCTATCCGTCTGCAGGGCATTCTTTTTCTCATAATGGGGAATGGCAGAAGTAGGTGACTATCTTCTTTTGGTATGAAATGGAACGGAACAATCTTTTGCAATTACAATGCCGAGACTGTACCGGTCCTAGTGTGGGAAGTATAACAATTTGCATATTTTAATTTAGAGGTTAGGGACCCCTGTCAAAGTAACAGCTTGGACCAGGTCAGCAAGGAGAAATCGAGAAGAGAGAGAAAATTGAAAAGGCAGTTCCCCACAAAATGAAATTTGTCTCGTTGTCACTTAAGGTTGTCTTCTTGTCTTTCTGAGGGAGCAAGGTCAGTTTAAGAATGAAGGGAAAGGAGAGCATGGTGGATCACTAAGGACCAAGGATAATTTTTTTTCTAATAACAGTGGCAATTGCAATATATATTTATGAAGGGGGGGAGGAAAAGGGTGCACACCACTTTCCAGTTAGGAGTCAGCGGGTGTCCTTTGAGTCTAAATATTGCAGACGTGTACATGGCACATCTGAAGTTTGTCCTCAAAGACAAGCAGGTTACAAAGGAGATGAAGTACTTAATGAAATAATTTAGTGTGACACATTGATATTGAAGGCTGGAAGGCAGAAAAGGATTTGCAACAAAATTAAGGTATATCTCTCTTGAAACAGTTCCCCGTTCCTTTCTCTGGGGCTGATATGAGATTTTTCACACACACACACACACACACAAAAAAAAAATCCAATGTGAAGTTCAACATCTGCAACCACATGAAAAATCTCATTGGAATATGGTCCGGGGGAAAGTCGCGTGAGGCAATGCTTGTTTGGTTCTGTTTTTGGTTTTACTCTCCTCAGTGTCGTGTGTTTCCAGTTAGAATGTGCATTGGTGAAGGGAAAATCTAGGGCACAGGCGGAGAAGAAAATTGTGCCTGGGGAATGTTAGTTTTAGATAGATAGAGGCGACGGAGGACAGCCAGCACGGTGACCAAGACGTGACGGCAGCCAAGACTCCACTCCCAGGCGCGGGGGCGAGTCGTGGTATCTGGGTATATGAAAACCCCCCCACTTGAGAAAGTGAAGGTAAGCCATTCATGCTCATGATCTCCTGTCACCATTACATAAAAAGGAAAGAAAAACGTGGACCCCAGAAGCTGTGATCTATGGTTGGCAGACTCATTTCTGTCCAGGCTCACTGCAGGGAGATGCACCGAGACGGCTTGCCTTCTCATCCGGTGGGAAGTTCTAGTGAAATTCGTAGAAAGGCAGACGACGGAGAGGACAGACCTTGTGCAAGAGACTCCCCTCCCCAGTCTGAGATCGAGTGCATTCTGTAACTCACCAGGTGGAGGTCCTCTTTTTGAAGAGCTCTATTCCACAAAGCTCAATTTGTTGGAGATGTGGTCTCCAAGGGATGGAACCTTTAAGACTGGGAGGTGCTTAGGTTGTTGAGGTGCGAGCTCAGAAGGGATCCAGGGACTGGCTTTCTGTTGGGTGACATAACCTGTCACTCCCAAACAAGCGACTGCCAAGATAAGAAGAGGTCCTTCCCAGAGCCACGTTCAGCTGCTGCTTGGCCCATACCCTTGAGTCTCCAGAACTAGGAGCTGTATAAGCCTCTGTTCTCTATAAAGTTAGCCCACCTCAGGTTTTTATTTATAGTCATGCAAAATTGATTGATACAGTAGAGAATCAAAATATTAGGGTTAGAGTACTTGATCTCTAGTGTATGAACTTAGATGAATCAATTAGTAACTCCGATTTTTAGCTTTCTGATCTTGAAGCAACACATTGCTCTGTCTACGTCACAGTTTTTGTGAAACTACATACATGAATGTGCTATTTTACACTGTAAGCTGTGTTGTAAATTCAAGGTTTTCATTAATTGACAGAGGTAGATATATCCATTAGGTTTCTAGATTCTTGCAAACCCAGATGCTCAGTTATGTTCTATAGACTAAATCTAAAACACTTAAAATTTCCTCTTTCCTTGCAATCAGACAAAGAATGTAATCACCTGCTTCTACCTATTTACCTATTTACCTGCCCAGGGTTCCCTCTAGGACCAATGGTAAGTGTTTACCTTCATCATCATGGTAAAGAGTGACTCTTCCTCCAGAAATGGTTCCCAATTTTCTATCACACTGACTCCCAAATTCCTGTGATTTTCTTCCCTTTGAAAAATAATTTCAAAATCTATCACAAAAAAAGTGTCTAATTAGGAGGTCATGTGAAACAGCTACTTTCTGGTCAGAAGTTGCCAAGTGGCAATTTTGGGGAGAAAGTTATAGAATATTCTTGGCAGTGTCCAGTCTTTCCATTAGAAAAAGGACCACACCACACTTGCTATGGAATAATATCATATTTTCTTCGGAGAAATAACCCTTCCTCCTATGTTCTGGAGTTTCTCCAAAGACTTTAAAGCATTTATGCAGGTCGGTTTGCCGAGAGTTATTAAAATTCACAAACTATCCACATGGCCTTAAGATGGAAACGGTCAGTACGCCAATCAACAGATACGGAAACGGTGATCCTAAAGCCCTAGTCAACCCTCCCAGTGAAAAACTCAAGCATCCAGAAATAGAATCTAAGCTGCTGACCAGGACTTTCCAAAATACTTGCTGTGTTCAGAATCAGCATTGTTAACGGCCTGGATGCAGCAACACCCCTGCATCCTGCTCCTTTGCTGAATTCGTTCATCATCTCTATTTTGTTGTATGTGGAATCTTTAGCATTTCCAGCCTATGAGATACAGGATCAGAGACAACTGTATTGAACTTTTGATTTCAGCTCCTAGAGGACAGTGGAGACAAGGCTAACAAGCTGGCCACTCTCCCTGTAAGAAACACTGTAGTCGTAGCTGACCAGTTAACTCATGAAGTTCATGTGCCACAGTAGGGTGCACGCGCCCACACACATACTCGTGCACACACCTGCCCCCACGATTTTATTCAAGGTTTAATTTGTTTTGGTTTCTTAAACTAAACTATACTTGAGATTTTAATTTCAAGCCTTAACCTATAATTTTTTCCTAAATTTCATGCCCTGCCCCTTTCTGTACTAACTGTTCACCCCTGTCGACATCAGATAATGAAGAGCCAGACCATGGCGGAATGGATTTTTGACAGATTTTTGTAATTTAGCTATTGTCACTTCCAGAAAGTCTGTTCATTAAGCTAACATGTATCGTGGACATAAATGGAATTTGGAAGGTTTGGGAAGTCATTCGACCTTGACTGTAAAAAAAGAAATCTGATAATTTAAAGTTATTGCAGCAGAATTAAACTTGATATTGAAAAGAATGAATATTTTAAACAAAGAAACCTTTCCAATGGCATCTCGTTATCATGTGGGCAATGTGGGCAAGGTGTCCAGGTCTTTCTTGCCACCACACTCTGAGAAAAGACAGTGGAAAAGACGCTGGGTGTCCACAGCCATCGGCTCGTCCAAGCCCAGCTGCAGATGAGTCAAAGGCAGGTTGCCCTGAGTGTGGACTCAGCAGGACTGGTGGCACACACTGGGTTCAGGCCAGCCAGCTGCCGAGAGGAAGCACCATCAGCAGCCTTGTCCTGCCCAGACGGGAAAGACGATATTCTGGCCACGTTGTTGGCAGCTGGCATGGCCTGGTTTGTCCTCTGCCACTTTTCCATTAGAGTGTGCATGGAAACAGGAAAGGAGATGCAGCTTTAGCAGCAGTGGGAACAGGAGACCTTGGTCCAGAGTGTGTCAGGCCAAGAGCTGGAAGCTGAGTGGTGACTGGCACTATGGGATCCACCAGGTGGGTCTCCACCACACAGCTCCCAAGGCAGAGGTGCCCTTTCTGGTTTGAGGAGCTCCTCTCTATGAAACCCACCTGCTGTAGCCCTTCGCCCAGCCACATGTCAGTCCTTAATGCCTGTCTCCACCCCACCCTCCTCAGCAGTGAACCACCAAAGGGGCCACAGGGGGTGTGGGCTCACTTCAGGTCCAGGCACTGGCCGATTCGCTTCACCCTCTGAAGTTCTTTGCAGTGGAAGAAAGACAGGTCATCGGGTCACGCGCAGTGCCAGAGAGGTGGCTGGGGCTGTGCACACCCACACGGTGGCATCCTGAGATCTGAGCGGACGACTGGGTTCAGAGAAGATGGACCGACATCCAGCAGAATAAGTCATTCTTTCCAAGGATGAGGGGATGCAGTTTTTAAAAGTATCATAGTGACTCCACAACACCAGACACCGCCCAGCAGCACTGGGAAAGGAAGGGAGAATTTATTTTGGAAATATTTCTAATTAAAGTAAACTTGTAAATTACTCGGTTTATCTTATTCTCTACAAGAGCACAGGAGAGCAAGGTCCCTACAACTCAACATGGTGTGGATTTAAATATCACAGTGACACAAAGAAGGAGTTGGCAGAAGGGAAAGTGGCAGGTGATTTCCAGGGTCAGAGAGGAGGAGGGCCTGGGAGTTGTGATTGGACAACCCAGAGTTGCAGTTTTGCAAGATGAAAATGTTCTGGAGGTCAGGGTGCAACGTGGCTGACATGTACACTCCAAAACAGCTAAGACGATGATTTTAGGCTCTAAGATTATACAGCACGTACATATTTTACCCCCATTAAAACATATTTAAAATAGATATGATATTCAATGTAAAAAAGTAAGATGAATTGGATGAGAGTGAGCTAGATAAGTCAGACATAAATAAAGCCAGATTGTGGGTTGGTGAATAAGAGCACATGGGTTTTGGATTTAAAAAACAAAAAAGCCTGATTATGCTGGGCCTGGTGATGCATGCCTGGGATCCCAGTGACTCAGAGGCTGAGGCAGGAGGATCACAACAAGTTTGAGGCCAGCCTCAGCAACTTAGTAAGACCCTGTCTCAAAAAATAAGAAAAAAGGGCAGGGGATGTAGCTCAGTGCTGGAGCACCTTTGGGTTCAATCCACAGAAGGAAGGAAGAAAGGAAGGGAGGGAGGATGGGAAGGCCTAGTTACATATTTTATTTCTACTACTTTCCAATTCTTTTATTTTGGAGAAGTTATTTAA